GTGAGGAACGGTATCGAAAGCTTTCGCGAAATCTAAATAGACGATGTCCACGGGATTCCCTTTATCCCTCTCTTCCGTCGCCCAGTCGTAGAATTCGAGTAAATTGGTGAGACAATTTCGACGCCTCCTAAAGCCGTGTTGAGAGTCTCGAATGAGCGCGTTTCCTTCTAGGAAATCCAAGAGATGGTCCCTTAGTATGCTCTCCATGATCTTCCCTGGGATACTCGTGAGACTTACCGGCCTGTAATTTCCTGGAGGTCGCTGCCTACCCCCTCTCCATAGACGAACCACTAGCGCTAAATATCACCAGCCGCCACTGGTGACGAGTTTTGGATCGTTACGAGCCAAAATGTATTCTAGTATGCCTGCATGGGTAGAATCATGCAATGTAGAACGCATTGAGCATTCCTTTTTATATTTATAATTTTTTTTAGATATGAGCAGGTTTCATGAGTTGAGAGGAACAAAAATGTTGAAAAACGTTTTTTTTTCGATAGGCCTATTATTTAGTGCCCATGATAGCACGAAAACGAGGGTGAATGCATAGTGCGAACTTGTTGGGGCATGTACCAGAAACACGGTGCGTTTCTCTTGCCGCATTTTGTGACACTGTAGGCATCTCGTGCGCTTGGATTTTTTCTGTTCGGGTTCCTTCCTTTCTCGTATTGGCTCGGGCCTACGGGAAAAATTTCCTTCAAAATGTCCCCTCCATACGGAAAACCCAGCTAAGCCGCACGGCTACGACCGTCTGCAATCGGTCGTTTTTTATTATGGCTCTACGGTGCACATTATCTGGCGAATGCGTGAAACTTGCCTTAATTTCTGCCAGATTTGCATCGGAATCCATCCACCTTGCCCGGTTTCTCTGATTATTTTTCTCGAAGTCGCATCTCTTCGACACGCTCCTCGAGAAAGAACGGAACGAAGGCTCGAGTCTCATTCGTGATTGCAGGTGGGCTTCAAGGGATTCGGGATCGCGAAGGAGAAGCTGGAGACCCGGGTGCCCTTCGTCCACGAGGGCGAGGAGTTCGCGCTGGGGCACGGGAGCGTCCTCATCGCGGCCATCACCTCCTGCACCAACACCAGCAACCCCTCCGTCATGCTGGGCGCGGGTGCGTCTCCCTCTTCGATTCCGCGAGGGATTTAAATTCTTCTGCTTGAGTCGTTATTATTGCGCGGGGAGGAATGGGTCACGATCTCGAGTAATTGCTATATCACAACGTCGGCGAACTCTACAGATGTTTCTAAAAATATCCTCATGAGTGTTTTGAGGTATGGCCACGAGACAGCGAATAGAACGGCAGTGTTCCTCGTGGTTCTCCAAGTTCACGTGACAGCTTGTGATTGCGTTCTGGATTATTCCAAAATATATTGTTTATAATAGTGCGGAAGGAAGAGCAAATCATAAAGGTTGTTAAAGAATTTCAAAAAGAAAATGGTATGAGGTATGGTATATTTAAAGAAAAGGTAAGCTTGTGCATGATTCGCTGGGAGTAGCCGATGAAATCCTGTCGAGGAGTACTCCCATCTTGATCACCTTCTGCACTTCCGTCGACGGGATAGACATCTGCAGGGAAAGAGGACACTAAATCGAGGGGAATTTTCCAGCTAGTTCATTCTCTGTGTACTCAGCATCGAGGCAAGAACGTCGGAGAGCTATACCTTCAGGTGGCCTGATTCCATCTGCATCGGCGTAGTTGTATGAGTAGTTCCTTTGGCACTCGCGAGAGAGCGAGCGAGGAAATGGTTTTGCAAATTGCAAACTTTGTGTATCCCGCCCACAGCCCGACAATGCAGTGACGCGCCTAGAATTTTCGAATGGGGAGGGATCTGAGGGCTGAAAAGCTTCGAGCGTGGGGGTGAAGGACGCTGGGCGGTTTGTACAGGGCCCCCCCCCCCCCCTTCCCCCCCAGGAGGGGAGTTTGACCTCCCAACGTCCTCCTTCCTTCTGCTTCCCTCCCTTTCCGCAGGCGAGCCCTCACGACAAAGACAAGAACCGCGCAAGGCCCTATCAGGGCGGTATCACTCACTCGATCATCGTGGGCGTCTGACAAAGTAGATGCGGCGATAGGGAGAATATGAAGACGACAAATCATTCCTTCCATCAGCCAATGATCTAAGCAAGAGCCGTAGGGCTAACATTTGGAAGTCTGGAGGAAGCAGGAACCCGTAAATGCCGTCAAGCCTTGAATTTAGACCGTACATAGACTGATCACCCACTGACCTCCCACCCTCCCTCCCTCTCGGTGACAAAACGGTTGATATGAAAAGCAGAAAACATTGGTGCGATCCGCCCCGTGTTTATTTGTTGGGAGCGGCATAATGGAGGGGCCTCTCCTATGGCGCGAGGCGCTGCACCCTTCCAGGTGCGGCCGCCATCTTACTGAAGTCGCACGAACAAGGAGTTCATAGCAGACACATGGGGGAGGGGGAGGGCAAAAGAGGCAACTCGCCCCGAGCTACATGCCTAGGGGCCTCCATGCCGGGACCCAACAAATCACGCTATTCATTCCCACGTGTGAGACCTTCCCAAGATGGCGGAAGCACTTGTAGCGCTCGAGGCAGCGAAGGCCTCTCCAGACATCTATATACTCTCTATGGGTGGAACGCGTGGGCCTCGTAAACCTTCGCGACTCCGACCTCGTCCGGCGATGGGATCGCAAGGGAGATCGTTATCGGTCGGGTTTCCAGAAGCTTTCCGTTAGATCGCATTTTCTTCGCTTTCTGTTTAGCACGGCTGTTCTTTATACGACGTGGGTTCGTTCGTTCCTCGGTTCCGTAGCGGGGTATTACATTTTCTTCTACGCCCTGACAGGGTGAGACAAATTCCAACCCCCTTAAGCGTTTGCGCCTAAATATGTTCCTCGCATACCTTTTGAAATCTCTGCTTTCGGGATCCATACCATTAAAGAAGGGAATGTAAGAACTGTTCATTTGTGTCACTGGACAGTAATTTGGTTAAAAACGGCAGGTTCCATTTCCAATGCTGAACTTTGTAGTGTAGGGAGCGGACTTTGTGGCGGGATCGAAATCTGTCGTACCTAATAGATATTTTGGATTAAGGTGGGTTTACACGACGAACTCGCGTGGCACAGGAAAAGACACGCAATAACCTTTTTGCACCTACGTGACGATGTGTCGCGTCCTACAATTTTCTGGCAGGTATTTCCTTGGGTTCAATTGGACGACGGGTGAAAGTTCTCCGCGGTCGGTCGGGTCGTGGGAATCGTCGAAGTGTTAAAATTAATTACGTCCGCAAGTCGTTCCTGTTGCTCAGTGGCGACACGCGAGTGTGGAGTCGATGCAAAGCCACGTTAACGAAGGCAACGTGTGATGTACTAGGTCTGCTGGCGAAGAAGGCGGTCGAGGCCGGGTTGAAAGTCCAGCCGTACATCAAGACGAGTCTGAGCCCCGGGTCGGGGGTCGTGACCCGGTACCTGCAGGAATCGGGGGTCCTCCCGCACCTCACGGCGCTGGGGTTCCACATCGCGGGGTATGGGTGCATGACGTGCATCGGGAACTCGGGCCCTCTGGACGAGCATGTCGTCGCTGCAATCGAGAAGGTCTGCCGGCTGGTTTTACTTTATTTTATTTATTTTTTTTTGTGGTGCTCATGTAGTGAGACGTTTTCTCCCTGAAATGTCTGAAAATTTCTCGTTAGAATTTAGGATTCTCTAATGTTAGAAATCTCGAAAATCCAGGCATATTGATAAATTGTTCTAGGAATAGACAAGAAAATCGGCAAATTCTCTGGGTTCTCTGGGTTAGTGAATTCCGTTCATGCATTTATGTATGGATGCAGGAACAGTAAGTCTCGAAGTCGGGTCTTCTTACCGGATCGTATTCGAAGTAAAGTCAATACGATGGAAATAATTATGACCGTGATTATTTCCTCTCATCGACCTTCCCAAAAGGACTTTAAAGAGCATGCGGCAAACATTTCGGCATTCGATAATTGCGAGAGGCAGACATTTGTCTTCCGACGATGAACCACGGCGATCGCCTCCGATCAGGGCGACTTGGTGTGCTGCGGGGTGCTGTCGGGGAACAGGAACTTCGAGGGCCGGATCCACCCGCACACGAGGGCGAATTACCTCGCGTCTCCGCCGCTCGTCATCGCCTATGCGCTCGCCGGCACGGTCGCCATCGACTTCCAGTCCCAGCCCATCGGTCTGCATTTTCCAGTTTCTTTTTTTCACTTTTGCTTGAAACCGGTTCGCGCTGCCTTGACCTGGACTATTTCGTTCGGTTCCAAGTGTGCATTACGGGATGTGCTGTCGCTTTAATCCATTATGGGGATTCAAAGCGTAATTTCTTGAAATGCATGCACACAGGGTGAAGGAATGTAATTAGACGTGATTTTTTTTTCGATTGACAATTGAAGGGTTCATTCATCGATGAATGATCGACAGAGTTGTGCTTTATTTCATAATGGATGAACTAACTAACGTTTGGCACTAACATTTGCACTGTAGTGTGTAAAACCCCTGATGGAATTAGCCGATTTTGATTACCTGCAATTTCTGGAAGAAACGTAGAGCAAAGATTTCATGCTCAAGGAAGGAAAAGCTAATTGATTTTTGGGAATTGATTGCTTCTGGGATTGATGCACTGATGGGTGGACATTGCGTATTGTTTCCCTCCTGTGCCTTTTTCGCTTCACTTCAACTTTTGTGGTAAAAAAAAAAAACCTTTTTGCAGGCTTTGATCAATGTATGAGATGGATCAAATTCTCCCTTCTTTCTGACCATCCAAGAAAAAAATACAAGACGGAAATTGCAATAACACTTGCTGCCATTCTCAGGCCACAGCAGCGAAGACGGGAAGCCAGTCTACTTGAGGGACATCTGGCCGTCTCCAGAGGAGATCCGGGAAGTGGAGCTGAAGCATGTCCTCCCGCATATGTTCCAGGTCAGGTGGAGAGCACGTGCATCACTGATTCGTCTTTGCTAGAAAGTTCAAGGAAGTATTGTGAGGGTGAGGTGGAAAGGTGAAAAAGGCGTGCTTTTGGATTCTACTTGGCTCTTTCATATCAGTTTTCCATGCGTTTTGTGTGTTGACTCTTTAATGATATGCTACATTCTGAACCAAATAATATTAGAAGAATCAACAACGATAATAAAACGCAGCAATTAAATTCAACTTAAAAATCTGAGGAAGGATTTTATTTTTTTATTTTTCTCATGCTTTATATGAAGCACCAATTTTTTTTTGCAAAAAATTGTGCATTAATAGGTTAGCTGATTCGTGTTAATTTTTCATTGTTCTGCAATTACTTTTTTTGTTATCACGGCATTTGAGCTCTTTAATTTTGTTAAGTTTGAGTTAAGGTAACTCGTAACAGTGTATGTTATAATAATGTCCATGTCTCCCTTTGCTGCCAGGAGGTGTATGGGAACATTGGAAGAGGGAATGAGAGGTGGAACAGCCTGGATGCTCCTGAGGGCACATTGTATTCTTGGGACCCTGAATCCACCTACATTCGAAGCCCTCCATTTTTCAGTAACATGACCAAGGTAAAGTTACATCCTTCGTGCCTGTCCAAATTATGAAGGGAAATGAGGTTGAACGTTGGTGATGTGTGTAGCACTCAAAATGCTCCTTGGGATGGTGGCCGTCATGACGTCACATACTTCAGATGTTACTAGATGAACTTAGTGATCACTGTATGCATTACTCAAGCATGAATGCATTATTCAAGGCATTGATCTTGACTGGGGTCATGACCCAAATTAACTGCATGAACTTTTTGAAGGGATGTCATTTGTCCCAAAATAGTGAATCTTGGAGCCTGTTGCATCTAGATAATTGGATTAGCATGGGATAGGGGAAGCCTTTCCACATTTTCCATTTTACAATAGTAAATTAAGAACGGTGGCAATCTTCTTGCATAGGAGTTGAAGGGGGTGAGTTCAGTGGAGGATGCCCATGTCCTTCTGTTCCTGGGCGACTCGGTGACAACAGACCACATCTCCCCTGCCGGGAACATTGCCCGCAACAGCCCGGCGGCTCGATATCTCACTGCCCGAGGGTAAGGAGAATCACTGAAGCAAGCTTCGATTTATCACATGAAGTCATGTGATGCTGCATGTAACCTTTCCTGATTCCAGTTACATTTAAGTTGAGCAGGAGTAGCAGGATCAACCATGATTTAAATGGAGCTTCAGGGTAATTTTTTTTTTAGAGTTTGGTGGAAATTTAATGAAGGGTTTTCTTAGGATGCTTCTGTGGGAGTTACCAGTGTTTCATCTGCAGCACAATGTTTTCTGAAAGGTTTTTGAAAAGTCTATTTTAGGAAAAAATTTATTTAATCTAACAGCACTTGATACCGACTTCCATTATGAAGTTTGACTATTACATTCTGCTTCGTTACTACAAGTTAGTCATGTCATGATATAGAAACAAAATGGAGGATTACTTTTCTGCAGTCTCCCATATTTTGTGAAGCAAATTCTGAATGTATGATTTACCAGACCATTAATTCCACATTTGTGATTCAGGGTGACACCTCGGGAGTTCAACACTTACGGCTCGCGTAGGGGAAACGACGAGGTCATGGCCCGAGGGACATTTGCCAACATTCGACTGGTGAACAAGTTCTTGGGCCGGGCTGCTCCACGTACCATTCACTTCCCATCTGGAGATGAGGTTCCCTTTCCTTCATTCTAATACAAATTGGGTTTCTTTTCAAAAGACTTCCTTGGGGACAGCTGGTATATGATTCTTACTATGATCGAAATTCTGTTGTTTATTTTGTTGGTAAACATGATTGGATAAAGGTCTCTATTCAACGTGGGTCATGTGCTCCATCAATTTTGTTGAACATATTGCCTTAGGTTTGTCAAAAAGAGTCTTGCCCACAAAATCCCACTAAGATTCATTTCTGTGATTGTAGAAAGTTTCAGTTCTGCTTCTGTGCAAGTCCCTGTATTGATAACCTGCTCTTTGTGATGATCCTATTTGATCACTAAGGATTGGGTTTAGATGCCAAAATCAGTATTAAAAAAGTAATGGCATGTAAAATGTGTTCACCCAGAGTGATTTTGGTGATACAATGTACTTCATTTACTCACTTGGATCTTGACACGATAGAAAGATGACTAGTTATTTGTCTCGATCCGGCTGCAGATGGACGTGTACGAGGCTGCGGAGCGGTACAGGGAGGAAGGTCGTCCGTTGATCATCCTGGCAGGAAAGGACTATGGTAGTGGATCTTCCAGGGATTGGGCTGCCAAGGGCCCTTTCCTACAAGTATGTGCATCTCTATGCTCCTTCCAGTGGTATAGCGAAGGGGGTGGGATGCCATTTGTTTGCGTGTGATTCATTCTATCTCATTGTACTCAATTTAAAAAAAGCTCATTAGCCATAACTGGTACATTTGATTTCTTTTTGGTGGTAGGTATTTTTCATTGGAGTCACCTCGTTTTTTCTGTTTCTGATGTATGCTATAGGCTGTAAAATTATTTTAATTTTGGGTGTGAATGGCTTATTTCGCAAAAAGTAGAATTCCTTAGCATCCTCTTATCTGGAAAAGTTTCAAAGTTAACACTGATTATGGTCTCATTTATAAAAAGGAGACCAAAAAATTCTGAGTATTGATTTGGATTCAAAATGCAGTGATGCTAAAAATTACTAATAGGGCCTATGAAAATGACCTATTTTTTGGCAAAAAGTGATACTTTTTCATCACTGCTACTGATGCAAAGCTTCCCACCTCTTCTTGAAAAGGAGTATTTGAACTCTATTGTTTCCTTTGGCAGACCAAGGTACCCTAATTTTAGCTAAATAAGCTGTGTCCTCAAAAATAATAATAAGCAGTAAAAATAAATTTTACTGATTATACTAAGGAGCTGAAAATTTTGGAGGAATGAAGTACACTGTAACTCCTATTACAAGTACCTGGCACTGAAAGAATCAGGAGCTAAATTGAAGAGGGTGAGTTTTTCCCCTTTTAGGGGATATTGAATGGAATGGCCAAAATATTCATATTGTGTGCCCTTATTTCAAAATTGTGTAGAGTAATTTTCTTCTGCAGCATGTTCTAGATCAGCATCAATTGATGGACATTTACTTTGTGTTCTTTTTTAAATTGAATTCCTTAAACTTTATTTGAATTCAGTTTCATATTCTCTATTTTTTATTATTATTGCAGTGTTTTGTATTGATCTATTTTATTTTTATCACTGAATTAGATTTTAATGCTTTTGGGTCCCATTTAATGTACTATAAGGACAGAAATGAGATTTGGTACTGATTTTAATGTGCTTTTGGATCATGGTGACCTGTCAACATTTGTTGATGTGATTCTATTGTTCAGAAATCTTCACTGATATCAAGGTCTCAAATTACAATACTGTATGCATAAGTTGTGTGCTGGCAAATGAGATTGATATAATTGGAATCCTTAGATAATCTAACAAGGATTTCCAAAGAATATTGAAGAGGTGGCACTCCTTTGTTCAGTGTTTGGCTGCCATCATAGTGAGTACACTTGCAAAAGAAGAGTAATTGTGAGAAAAGGAAGGAGGCTGTATGAAAACTTTTTTTGGTAGCACATGTACCTGTGACCTGCCAACAATGGAATGGCACAAAGGGACCATAAAAGTATCCAGCTGAGGAGGTTCAAAGTGTTGGTCCATCCACTGCAGACTAGAGCAGTTGACTGCTTCAGACCGAAGTCACCTGAGTTATTCAGAATGCTGGCAACCCTAATTTTTCTGTGGTTAAAACCCAAATCAGTTGGTCGGTAGAATGATAATATGGTGGATAATATTGGCATGGTGGATAATATTGACAGTTACTCACTATTTCTGCAATAACATTTTCTGCACTTTCTTCCTTGTTCATTTTTGGATGCCAATACTCACCTCCAATAATAACATTTTATGTATGGAAATTTTGAATTTAGATACATCTTCATCAATGTATGATAGAAGTTCAGCATTTAAAGTGTGCAGTGTTTTTCTCTGTGGGTTGTTGAAATTAGAGCTGAGCAAAAGTCATGATGTAGAAGAATTTTCATTCCACAATTTTGATTGGAAGAAATAAAAACAAAACGGTATAATATTTCACAAACCTTATCTGATTACTGCAACACCGTGTCATGTCTGTACATGATAATTTCTTTTAAGTTGCAGAACTGCCTAAGAAGAAAAGGGTCACTTGTTGCATGCATTTTATCATTTTATGTTATATCATTTATTAGATATTCCTTTCCTCTTTTGAGTGGAGTTAGAGAGTTGATCGTTTTCGCAGGGAATCAAGGCAGTGATAGCAGAGTCATTCGAGAGGATCCATCGAAGCAACCTGGTGGGGATGGGGATCATGCCACTGGAGTTTCTTCCCGGGGAATCGCCCGACACTCTTGGGCTCACGGGCAAAGAGACCTTCTGCATCGATATTCCACGAGACCTCAAGCCTAAGCAGACTCTTACTGTTAAGGTGAGATTTTCTATATGCAGTTTACCATTGTTGTGTTGGACTTCTATGGAATGGATGTAGAAATTTCCTATTTCTTTCTCTTAACAGAAAGTAGAAATTAATGTGGGGAAATGATCTTACATGGAAAATAGAATCATAACTCTTACCAAGAGCCAAATTCTACTGCCTGAATGCTGAAACCTCACTCAGGCAACAGAATCAAACTGCCAATCTGATTTCCACTGCTCATCCCATCCCTTTCTTTGATGTTTCCTGCGAGTGCCTTGAACATATCCCCGGAATTTAAAAAATTTATCAATTTTCTCTTTCACATTGTGCACCTGCATGCTCGCCAGTTGATGTCAACCTGAATCGCAGTGAATGATGATGTTTAGATTAAAGCATTGTCATTTGATGACAGGTGAGCGGTGGGCAGGAATTCGGCGCAGTGGCCCGCTTCGACACCGACGTCGAGCTCACCTACTTCAGGCACGGGGGCATTCTCAACTACATGATCCGCAAGATGCTCAATTGAACCAAGGGGGGACTCGCATCCTTCTCGGCTTTGTTCGCGTGCTCAATTTTTAGACGACTGGGGTCAGGGTAGTTTTGATCTGAACATTTAGAAGCCGAATTTTATTGCCGTATGAAATCCTTTGGGAAGATATTACTTCGTGGTTGCACTGGTTATGTAGCTGTGTAAATAATGTATCCAGTGATGTTCCTTTTGTAATGCGAGAGATGGTCACGGCTCGGGGCCGTGACCGTCGAGAAGACATTTAGATCTTCCTGCCAAATGTACCTTTTGTGTCATATGGTTCTTCCACTTGATTTTCTCACCTTTTTCAGCTGTGGAGCCTGATGCGGCTCACATTCTATAGAGAAGTAGTCATGTAATTAGAATTTCTTTACCTGGGATCACAGGCATAGAGGTAGGTCTTTTTTGGCTTAGGAAAGATGTGTTCCCTCTCACTGCAATATCATGTGCATAGATGAAATTAGACTCGTAGGAACTACCTCAAAGTAACGAAGCGCACAAATTCTGGGGTGTTCGACCAAAGTGAATGTGAATTTTGAACTTGTAGAAGTTAAATGTCATGCATTCTAGATAAAACCGGTGATCCACTTACTTATGTCGAAGGTCTCCGGTTTGCATTTTAATTACAAGGCTATATACCAAGGTAATTATTTTCTTATATTAGAGGAGCGGTGAACAATAGGGCAGTCGTCACGATACTCGTCTTCATGTTACAAATGAAACATTCGCACAATGTATCTAGGTCATTTTCAAGCTTTTATGGTCATATTGTTGATATGCTGACTTCGTGGCTACTCGACACCGTGAAAGTTCTGGTATCTGTCGTTTTCCTATTCAATAAAGCATATCATCGGATGGGTCTCTCCTTCCTTTGCAGCGGCAACTCCAGCAATCTCGTCGATATGGCGTTGATGACGCCCACTGTATATATTCTGTACAGACCTGCTAATTTCATTTTATTTCGTTTACAAACGATAGTGAAAATGAAGTCGCGACGGGCTGGGGAGTCTCCTTGGAGCACATTGTCACATACTGGACAAACGAAATCACGGCGGATGTGAACAGTTACGGGATCAGAGACGGGACCATGTCTTTAGACCGCGTGCGAGTTTGAACGGCCGGTGGCTGCAAGCCAGGAATGGTGAAACTGAAAACTGCCTTGCCGGAAAAACTCCCGGATGGCTGGATATGTGCAAGGAACGAGCGACCATTTTACCGAAGGGTCAGAAAGTTAAGATGAAACATACGTAAAGGATTCGTTTTTATTATTTTTTTTTTATCCCTCATTTTTCGGTGATTTTCGGTTTCGCTTCGAGAACGATCGGCTGTCGGGCCAGAGAAGGCAAAAACATTCGATTCGGTCCCCAAACTTTTCTGAGGCAAGGGGCCCGCGGAAGCTTTGGTCCACCGCGGACGCTTTGGTCCACCGCGGACTGCTTTGGTCCACCGCGGACTGCTTTGGTCCACCGCGGACTGCTTTGGTCCACCACGAAGGTGGTTTGGTCTTCCATGCGGGCCGCATGGAAGAAGATGCAACATTTCGGCACGGTTAACCCATCATCTAGCAGCTGGGTCTCTCGGTCGAGCAACTCGAAACCTGGAACTCGGAAAAAAAACGCGGATTCCTGCCGCATCCAGGCACAATGCCACTGAAGTCGGGGTTCATGTACGTGCATCGGTTCTAGGTCATATAAGTTACAATTTAAGTTGTGTAAGTTACGCCCCTTTTTTTCTCCTAAATTTCAACATTTAAGTATTGTTTGATATTAGGGGGCCGCATAAAAGCATAAACAAACGTTAAAAAGTAAATAGTAAGTAAACAAAAAAGCATCCAATCCGAAGCATTTCGCTGCTTCCTCCGATCCACGCTAGATGTCTCTCGGGGGACCAGACCTCGTCCGCACGAAATCCCGGACTCTTAATTCTAATAAATGTTTTTCTTTTATGCGCAGAGTGCGAGATCTCGATCTCGTGGGGACGAGCGTTTCGTCGTGCCGAGTCTCACTTCGTCCACCGTTCCCGTTCCCCGTTCCCGTTCCACCCACTCGGACTCGCAAACACGCCCTGTTCACCTAGCACGTCCCAAGTGGGCATGCCAGGTGGACGTGCCAGGTGTGACGGGGACCCGATGACACGACGATACCTTGTGGGTTTGCAATGGATGAAGAGCGTGGGATTCGCCGGGCATCGCACCCAGCGCGATGGGGCGTTGGGTTGCGTTTGCCTGCTGGTCGCGTTGGTAGAGCCCTGCACGGGGCGGTAAGGTCCGATTCAGCTCTAAAATGCCTCGAAGGACTGAGAGGAAGACCGTTATGCCTGGGGGAAAATATATCATTTCTTGCTTCCGGAGGAAAGACCGTGATCTACAATGCGAAGAAGGTCTATTTGGGGTTTATTAGAAGTCTTTCGACGAGCTGTTTGTAATCGTAAAAGAAAAACGAAGACCTTTAACCCTTTAACCTTGATATACCTGTGACCTTTATGGAACCGTTCTCGCAAAACTTCCACCGTGCTTCGACCGATACGCTCCTTTCAAACTCGTCGATCTCGTTCCATCGAACCTGTCTCGCGAACACATTATTTACGGAGAACGCGATCGCGAACCGCGAATGCGAGGAATTTGAGGAGCCGATCCGGGTGATTGAGCCAGATCGCCTGAAATGTCACCGATTGAGCCAGATCGCCTGAAATGTCACCGACTGAGCCGGATTGCATGAAATGTGTTTGGGAACGCGTCGGTCGGACCGCGAACAGACACGGTTTTGTTGAAGGGCTGTTGTCCCTGAATTTTGCAGTTGGGTCAAGATCCCGATGAAGGCTTGCAAGGAAAAAATGGAAAACAGCTGCGTTCGCCAACGCAGAAACGACCGAAGTGAAAAATCGCACATATTCCTGCTCGTGGTGGCCAGATCCCAAATGGGAAAGGTAACTGGGACGCAGTGGCGCTCCCGGATGTGTAAAACGCACCTGTGCGAACGAGATCGTTAACTTTTGGTTTCGAATGACGCGACGATCGCGGCCGAAACGCACATTCGCCGTATAAATTCGGCGCATCCGGAGATTCCCCCGTCACAGAAGCAGCGAGGCGAAACATGGAAACTCGTGGAATCGCGTGGGTCTTCTTCCTCGGACTCCTCTTCGCAAAGGTCCTAACAGCATCTCCTTATTCGGTTCTTCTCCCGCTTTTTGGAGTTCCCTTTCCTTTTGAATGCACGTCCGAGGAACATTTGTTAGTTTACGTCCGGGCCAGTCCGCATGGTTCGATCGTATTTTATCTCTAAGTCCTCGATCCAAGAGGGATTTGATCACGACCCATCGGTGCCACTCGGCAACAGATAGGGCTGGCCTCGGTCCCCGTTCCGTCTCGAAAGAGACGAAAGCGAGACGGACGGGTTTCGCGTTTCCACGATCAGATAAAAGAGGCGAGTCGCATGGAGTTTTCGTTTTGCCTAGGGCGAGGAGAGGCGAGGAATGGAGGATGTCGTTCGGGTCCGGGATCCGCACGCCCGCCATCCTGGTAAGCCGAGTCTTCCCACAGTCCGGGATTCTATCGGGGTTTCTATCAGGGTTTTAAAAGGCGTTCTATGGGGTGTTTCGATTTCGAGGCAGGGGGTCGCGTGGGGACGAGCTCGTTCCCGTTCGGTCCTCACCCGAGTCTTTCTTTTTCTTCCTTTACAGAATCGAGGATCTTCTACGACACGTGCAGTGAGTTGTCGTCCGTCTCGTCTCCGGGCATGGACGGCGTCTTTTCTCGGATCGCTTCATCCTTCCCCTTCTTTAGTCTGCGGAGCCTCGCAATACACGGGGAAAAGATCCGGGGATCCCCCGGGGAATTCCACGGATTCCGACCTGGATCGGATCATCGGAGGGACCGTCGTCCCCAGTCAGACCAAGTATCCGTGGATGGCCTGGGGTGGATTGACTCCGACTCAGATGGGTTGCACCGGGGCCCTCATCAACGATCGGTACGTGCTCACTGCAGCACACTGCGTCTTCGCCAAGTGAGTTCCCCTACTTTTTCACAGTTCTAGTCAGGCTCCGACTTCTAGAATGAGGCTTTTTTTCCACCCGTCACCTCAGCCGCCATGCAACGTTCTACGTGACTCTGGGAGACTTGGACCGGTCGACGTCGTCCGAGAGCCGCTCCATACAGATAACGGCTCGGGCCATCCCCCATCCGGAGTATAGGACTGAAAGCGGATCAACGACGGACAACGACATCGCCCTGATGCGACTCGATACCCCGGTGGACTGGAACGCGTACCCGCACATCCGTCCGATCTGTCTGCCCAGCGGTCCCTTGTCTGTCGCGGGGCAGACGGTCATCACCGCCGGGTGGGGCTGCACGAATATACTGGGTACGTCGGTTGGTCGAGGGGGGAGGGGGAGGGGTGGGGGAGGGGTGGGGGTGGCTTTTTTTTTTCGTCCGTCACCTCAGCCCCACGAGAACGTACTACGTGACTCTGGGAGACTTGGACCGGTCGACGTCATTCGAGAGCCGGTCCATACAGATAACGGCTCGGGCCATCCCCCATCGGGACTATCGGTCTCAAGGAAATGACAACGACATCGCCCTGATGCGACTCGATACCCCGGTGAACTGGAACGCGTATCCGCACATCCGTCCGATCTGCCTGCCCAGCGGTCCCTTGCCTGTCGCGGGGCAGACGGTCATCACCGCTGGGTGGGGCAGCACAAATATAGTGGGTACGTCGGTCGGTCGAGGGGTTGGGGGTGGGGGGGATGGGGGGCGAAGTGGGGGGGGGAGGGGCGGAGTGGGATGACTGACTCGAAGCGATCGATTTACGATCGTGATTTGCATTTCAGACTCATACTTCTCCGTCCCATCGTGGAAGTTATTCGAGGCGACGCTGAAGGTGGTCAGCGATGAAGTCTGTCGAAGAAGTTTCAGCAATAGAAATTACAACAATTTCATCTGCGCGTACAGTGCGGGAAGTACAATCGCCAGGGTGAGCCTCTTTCCCTCATCCAAGGAACCAGGACTTAAAAGAAAGAAGAATCGAATGACGATTTGATGAAGTGACCCGCGTTGTACATTTAGGGAGATTCCGGTGGACCCCTCATGTACCGGACTCAGCTTGGATATTTCCAGAACGTTGGCATCAACTCCTTCGGTGGGGGCTTCCCAATCCTTGGTGCCGGCTTCACCGAGATAGGAAGTTTGTGTAGTTCACACTCCCCTTTGCCCCCCCCCCCCCCTCCAGTCCTCCTTCTTTCACGAATCTTTCTCTTTCAGATTACGTGAACAGCTTCATACTGCCGAAGACAGAGGATGCCAATTACTGTATGACACCCTGGTTTTCCGTGTGACCGACCTCCACTTCCTTCCGACTTCGAGTTCGACTTCGAGTCCGCTTCAAGTCGCCGCGAACGCTCGCAGTACCGTGCTGGCCCATTTCGGTTTCCTCAATAAAAAGTACTGCGAGATCGACGAGCTCTTTTTCTTCACGTACCCTTTTTGGGAACAGTGCAGAACGTTGTGGGTCCGACATGCTACGCTTCATACTTTGTTCCCGTCTCCACGCCGAGCGAACCGTCGAGAACATTGTCTTCTTGTCCGGGACTTTTCACATCGGCTTATTACGATCCAATGACAGCTATTATTTATATCAATGGTTGGATGGCGAAGATAATTCCAGTCGTATAGAGGCCGGTGGAGTGAAATATCTGTAGCTAGGTTGGTACTCTAGTTTTAAATAGCGAAATGATGCATCGCAAAAAAAAAAAACAAGAGGGCACTTTTCCTGATCTACTGGTCAATATACCCATGAATTTCTTTTGTTAAGACACGTTTTCTCGGAAACACCCCAGGAGAGGCTCCCCGGGGGGGAATGAACTTTATATGTTCAAAACGCGTTATCAGAGTCCTCTACAATCCCGGGAAATTGAAGCTTCATATTAGCTAGACCGATTCTGCATTTAGAGGGTGCAAAGCGTGCCCAATTTCGTTCCTGTCGATCAGGGGTGTCAAACCGGCGGCCCAAGGACCGGATCCGGCCCGCCAGTCCATTTTGTCCGGCCCGTGAAGTCCTCTTCGACAGTGGATTACGGAAAAGTCTCGCAAATTTCAGCCTGTCTGCATAAAATATTAGGTATTAGGCTTTTACTTTGGCCCCTAATCACCCCTGAAGACTTCCATCCCACCCCCAGCCTCATCGAGTTTGACACCCCTGCTGTATATGGTCTCAGAGAGGAATACCAGGAAGTTCAATTGCATGACGGGAAGAGGTAGAAGAAAGGGACTAGGCCAGGATTAGGCGCTACTTGGGAGTTCTTCGTCCCTCCCCCTTCCCATTGGCACTCACGAACGTCATTCCTAACCCACGGACCGTCTTCGAGTCAGGTCTAGGTCTTTTGTCGCTGGAGAGAATCCAAGCCCTCGACTTACCAGGCCAACGACGACTTACCAGGTTCATATGGCCTATCCAAGGGTTTTCGAGACATCTAGTGGACGTGTAACGTCAGGCCCATCGAGAGTTTCTCGACCTGCACTCGAATGTCTGTGGACAGACTGCCTCCAAAATTGGGATGCGCGTCGGTTGCCAAAGCAGGGTTGTCCGTATCCCGCGTCGATCGGACACGGCTAATAGCAGTTTCAATCTTGCCTCATCCCATTAATATGGCAATCTATCATACGTTTAAAAAATATTTATAAGAAAAAAAAAACAGATGGGCAGAAAGGGGATGAGACAGAAGGGCATAGATCCGAAATGAGAAGCAGCCATGAATCCGACAAAGTTACAAGGATTGGGGCAACCGTGAGAGTCGTGGAAAGGGGGGGGGGGGGGGGGGGGGGGGGGGGGGGGGGGANGGGGGGGGGGGGGGGGGGGGGGGGCGGGGGGGGGGGGGGGGGGGGGGGGGGGGGGGATCGGTGGAGCTTGCACGATAAGCCTAAATAATTTATAGCTACACTGTTTCCGGATTGAATTAGCATGTTCCCCCTATAGTAGAGAACGGAATTAGCACAACTTCCAGAGGATCTGCTTCATAAGATGATGAACGAAGCCACCCATTTGGAAGATATCGATACCTGTAATCGTACCTCTTTCCCTGTAATCGTTCCTCGCTGGAGTGTTTAATTCCTCGCCATATGTCTCGCATAGTCTCATTATAGCAATCGATGAAGTCGGACAATCCATCATTTGTTATCCGGATGATCGAGACAGAATCACGGAGTTCAGGAAATAATCAAGCTCATATTCCCTATGGGAACCCCTACGAAAACTATTTCCACTTGGCGAAAGGAGTTTTAGAACGAGAAAGTTATCCGCGACTCAATCCTCTGAATTCGGATTCTGAGGACAAAATGAGGAAACGAGGGATCGAATTCGCAGATCGAATGTGCCCGTAGAGCAGTGGTCCTTTTCCCGAAATGTACTCTAATTAGTACATTCAGGGGAAAATGAACCTCGATACTGTTCCGTGTCTCCTGCCCGTGCACGGGGGTTGTACTGGTGCAGGCAGTACTAATACTGCATACAGGAATGCCATCACTGGATAAAGAATTTAGGGATAATATTAACGCCTTTATTGGCCTGGTGTTTTCCGTGTAGTGATCCTAATAATCGCCCAATATGGATGCCAATACCGGGCCAATATGTCTAGTCCTCGGCAGTCGATACCGATCCAATATTGGGGTGCTACTGGGGTATCGCATCCCATACTAAACCCTAAACCTGTCCCGAATAAGAGATCCAATGTCTGGTAAATGCCAATATGCCGATAAAAGCTCCGGATCGACCCAAACTCGAGTCCTTGAGTAGGTTTTCCCTGCCGTCTGCGTGGCAGTTGAGGACGTCCGATCTTCTGCCTCGTTCCACGCAAACCAACTATTTTCCACTTTAATAATACGAAATCGTTTATTTCTCGACCGTTTTCGGTAACGCTCCGACTGAGAATTAGCCCACGGAATATTCGATTCTTTACTGAGGGAGGTCAAAGAAAACGGAGAAACGACGGCAGTGCCAAGAAGAAAGTTGCTGGGACGGGAGCAGCGGCGGCCAGGAAGCCCCAAGGTGTCATCGGGCACCACCCGGCATCGGGCACCACCCGGCATCGCGCGTATCGGCCGCGATCAAGTGGTCCGCGACATCTGCAAGGGAAGGATTTCCCGTCAGAGGGGAAAATCCTCGGCGGCGGTAACCGCTCTTACGAAAAAGTCCTATAGGAAACCCATAGGTTTAAGAAACACTAAAAACCTATGGGATCCCAATAGGTTCCTAAAGGACTCCTGATCTAAAGGATTCGGTGAGGTCTTTCGGGTTTCGAAACCCTGGCATTACAACCGGGATTACTACTTAATGGGATGACCATCGGGGTCAATATTGGTCCTGCTTCTACTCAAAAATCATCCCCGAGTAGTGGTTTTCCCAAGGTGGGGGATTTGCACATTCGGTACCGGTACTGCCCGCTCCAGTATAACTCTGGCCCTGCGCGCATCTCCATTACGGATGAGCAAATGGTGATATCCGTGTACTTACTTTCATCAGCGAAAAGAGAAAGCAATTCCTTTCCACTAAAACTTTGAAGAAAACTAGCCGATAAAAGGATTCCCATAGGGAATATGCGCTTGTTTCTGGCCTGGACTCCATGATTCTGTCTCGAGTATGGGGATAGCATACGAGGAAGTGTCCAAGTTTATTGATTGCTGCAATGAGGCAAGTTGAGACATATGGGGAGATACAAAACACTCCTGTGAGAGATGATTCCATAGATGGAGCGAGGGGCACTTTAATGTACTGTGAGAAAATGCGAGACCCATACCTCCATCTGGTGGTCGAAAGGAGAACTTCAACATTTTCCCCGAAAAAATTCTAGTGCAACGTAGGCACGTTGGATCATCGCATCGGTCCGATATTATATCAACGATGGAACGGCAATATTGGGAAGCCGATATTTACCCGATATTGGCATGGTGCAGCAGTGAGCTGGACGAACATTGGGCATTATTCCTGAATCTGCTGCTACAGGGGTGGGGAGTGAACATTCGAGTAAGTGGCATTACGTTGTCGACACAACGTTCATCTGCGTATTGCGATAAGCGACATTTATATATCGAATTAAAGTGCAACGACTCCCCGACGTTGGGAATGTTCAACCTTAACGTTTATGCAATGTCGATTGAATATTCTTTTGTTACCTTGGTCCTTCCTTTTCCCCCCAACGCAGTGACGGATAAAAGGGATGGGGAGGAGGGTGGCAATTATAGAAGCGCCTTTCTATTAATAATTTGTGTATCCTCACTGCTCTAACAGATGTGCTGTCCATCGTGGACTTATGAGATTCTCATGGGAATCTAATAGATCCTATAAGAAGCCTTATGTACACCTATATATTCTTATTGGAAACTTATAGGTCCCAGTACGTAGGAACCGGGGAAAAGGGGGGGGGGGGGGGGGGGGGGGGGGGAAAANGGGGGGGGGGGGGGGGGGGGGGGGGGGGGGGGGGGGGGGGGGGGGGGGGGGGGGGGGGGGGGGGGGGGGGGGGGGGGGGGGGGGGGGGGGGGGGGGGGGGGGGGGGGGGGGTTCGCAAAGGATATCTTTTCCCCCTCCCTTCCCCTCCCCTCCCCCACTTTTTGAACCTGAGTGATGTGTACACGGCCAAGCTGCGACTTAAGAACCTTCTTGGCATTCAATGGGGTTTTGAAAGTAAATTTAACTTGAGGTGAGGTTAATGCCTAAGGGGGAATGGCGTGGTCGGACACATTTCATGTGGGAGAACTCTGTGGGAGTTCTTTTTTGTCTCAGGTTCAAGATCTTCCATCCGATTAGACGTCGACTCCGTTCTCTTGAGTTTTCCTCGAAAAGAAGGGAAGTGCTGGAGTCAGTCCCCTTCGGTCATGAGTCTGGTTCCAAAAACATTTCAATGGTAGAACAGTGAATAGTTCAGTGCTACGTCAAGGAAGAGAAGTGCTGAAACCGGAACGCTTTTTCATTTCATTACGAAACGAAAGACAGCAAAGTATGAATAAAATTCAGGAATGGAAAACTTGAACGGTGTCGTATCATCGGTTGTCCTCACCCGATCAACGGCGCACGTGTGGCCGTAGATCGGCGTACGTGCGGCAGCTGCGGGCGTTTCTGTGGCTTTTCGGTCGTTAGGCCACGTGTGGCACGGGAGACTTTTGCACCCTTGGCCCACAATTGGCACACGTGGATGTTTCACGCACATATACGATATACGTCTGAATGAAAGAGGAAACATTTGCGGATGCTTTCATGAATACGGTAGCATGCTATAATACTATATACTATAATTACTAGTATTACGTTTCATCACTACGCCCCATGCTCCTGCCACCCATGGCCCATGGTTGCATCTGTGGGCTCATGTACCCATTGGCCCGTGGTTGTAACATGCGTACCTCGGAGATGAGCCACACCTGGCGCGGGGGTAATTTGCTGCGTGGTACCGAAAAAGATTGCACAGGAACCTATGCATGTTAGTGAAAGTGGCCCTTTTCGACCACAAAAATATAATTTCTCCTAGAAAAAGGGGGCAGGGCATTCAATGCATTGTACAGGGTGAGTTTTTATTTATGAGACAATTATAAATATTTATAATCTGGGAACAAATAGAGTTAGATGCCTGAAATTTCGCATGGGGAATCCATAAACATGGGAAAGTTTTATTCTATGAAAAAAAAAGTTTAATGTATCCTCCTCCGTGCGCAATCATCGGTCGTTGGGATGTGGTGTAATTCCGCACAAATACCTGCTGGGTATCCAAGAAAATGGAATAACTTCACGTTCTGTGGCCGCCTTCAGACCTCTAAACGTGCATGGATTTGACCTCAACTCGAGAACTTTGTCCTTTCGGTATCCCCAGAAGAAATAGCGACATGAATAGAGATTGGGTGGAAATGGTGGCCATACTAATCCACCGCTTTAGATATCGGGAAATTGCTAGACAGCTTTCTGGTATATGAGTTCTAGTGCACGAAGTCTGGCAACGTTCGCTCTGTTGGCAGGTCGCGATCTCAATCCATGTGGCTATTTCCTCTGGGGATACCTAAAGGACAAAGTTCTCGAGTCAAGGTCAAATCATGCACGTTTAGAGGTCTGAAGGCGGCCACAGGAAGTAAAGTTATTCCATTTTCTTGGATACCCTGCAGGCAGTTGTGCAGAATTCCCATCTTTATGAATTCTTTATGCGAAATTTTAGGCATCTAACTCTATTTGCTCCAAGATGATAAATATTTATAATAGTCTCAGGAATAAAAATCACCCTGTACTTTGATATGTGGCCATTGATTTCATACCTGCTAACGAAAGATGTGGTTTTGTGCTACGTATGTTATGCATGCATCAGCAGAGAGAGGTCTTTCTCCGAATTGAGGCGGCTCAAGAATCGGCTGCAGGCGAGGACCACGCAATAGCGCCTCACAAATTTCACATTCATGCATGCACCTCAATACATTTTGGACTCCCTAGAATTAGATAAATTGATGTACTCATGTATGTGTAACATATTTTATCATTCGGGCAAATCAAGAACGAAACAACGAAACACAAGTCGCCCGTGTCTCATGCTGGCAAGGCAGTTAGAAACAGGCAAATCACGGAAGCGGTCAAGCAATTTTATACGAAAATTATTCTGATATGTTCCATATCTGGCACAATATGCAGTAAATGGTAAATTAGTTTAAACTACACCCACGGTTGCATTCGGCACCAGGAAATCTCACAAACGAAAGTCCAAAAGCCGTAAAGTAGATTCACAGAAGGTCTCTGGTTCGGACAAATCGTTTTAACGCCCGTGAAATTAATGAGATTTGCCGGATATCCCGCAAAAACGGATAGCGACGAGCGTCCAATTTTTTTGCGAATTCGATATACTCCTTGTGCGCTTTCGGTGCGGTCGATGGCAGACGACACCCCATTTTTTTTTTGTCTCTCTCTTCCCGGGCGAAGAGTGTTTCGGCTCGAACAGTTGAGAGATTTAATCCAAAAGAAAAAAATGCTGGAGCCATGACAATTTTGCCGCATGAGAGTTCCAAAGACAGACTTTCAGGCTGTTACAGGGAATGAAGGAGGCTTTAAAAAAAATCGCTACAAGACACAAGGGGGGGCAGTTGCCCCACCTTGCCCCTCCCTCCCCCCGAAATGACATCCCTGGTTTCTTGTCATTTAACTTTAATATTTTCACTTTTAGATAATTGTATGGAGATATTCATGTACCTGCTATCACTCCTGATCCCATAAGAGTCCCAAGTTGAAATTTTGAGCACTGATGCAGAAGAAATTGAGAATGATACCGCAATTTTTCGAAGGGAATAAAAATGACCTTTTCCCCACGGAATTTCAGGACTGAGTTACGAAATACGCCGCAAAAAAAAATGCATATCGAAATCATACAATGTTCATACAATGAGGTACTAAAAGAATTCCACAAATTTATTCATTAATTTCAAAAATACAGGCATGACGTCATATGGCATCATCAGCACTTGAGTGACTTGGCCCAAAATTGTTCACTTTTTGCTACTTTCAAATTGCTACGCCTCTGGGAGTACTCGAGGTGGAGAGTTGCAATTTGGCATGGGAGGGCTTTTCGATTGCCATTTCGTGGAGATCGGAGGGGGTGAGGCAAATGGCTGTGTTGATTTCACGTGGAATGACCGCAAGGTGGGTCGGGGATCGCGACGAAGGCTCGCGAGGAAAAAAGTGGAAAAATATCGCGACGTTCGCGGTCGCGGTAAACGACCAAAGCGAAAAACATCCTTCGTTATCCTGTTTGTCGTCGCCAGATCCCAGATGGAAACCGTGCTGGGGACGCAATTACGCCCCCTGACGTGCGAAACGCACCTGACGCACGTGACGATCGCCGCCGAAACGCACATTCGCTGTATAAATTCGGCGCATCGGGTGACTCCCCATCACAGATACAGCGAGACGAAACATGGAAACTCGTGGGATCGCGTGGGTCTTCTTCCTCGGACTCCTCTCTGCAAAGGTCCTAACAGCTGTTTATACGGTTCCTCTCCCGCTTTTTCGAGTCCCCTTTTCTTTTGCATGCACTTGCAAGAAACATTTTTGCCGATATACGTCCGAGCCGTTCGGCACGGCTACATCACACTTTATCTCTAAGTCCTCGTTCCGACAAGGATTTGATCGCGACCCATCGGTGCCACTCGGCAACGGTTAGGGCTGGCCTCGGTCCCCGTTCCGTCTCGAAAGAGGCGAAAGCGAGTAGGACGGGTTTCGCGTTTCCGCGATTAGAGAAAAGGGGCGAGTCGTATAGAGTTTTCGTCTGCCTAGGGCGAGGAGGAGAGGCGCAGAGCGGAGGACGTCGTCCAGGTCCGGGATCCGCGCATCCGCGAACCAGGTAAGCCGAGTCTTCCCATCCGTTACCTTCGGGGATTCAGATTTTGAGACGGGGGTCGCGGTAAGGACGACCTCGTTCGCGTTCGATCCTCACCGGAGTCTTTTTTGTTCCTTCTTTTCAGATAAGAGGCTCGCCTTCGACTCCTGCTGTGAGTTCTCGTCCGACGCGTCTCCGGGCAAGGACGGCGTCTTTTCTCGGATTCATTCGTCCTACCCTCTCTTTAGACTGTGGAATCTCGCAATACACGGGGAAGAGATCCGGGGATCCCCCGGGGAATTCCACGGATTCCGACCTGGATCGGATCATCGGAGGGACCGTCGTCCCCAGTCAGACAAAGTATCCGTGGATGGCCTGGGGTGGATTGACTCCGACTCAGATGGGTTGCACCGGGGCCCTCATCAACGATCGATACGTGCTCACTGCGGCACACTGCGTCTTCGCCAAGTGAGTTCCTCTACTTTTTCGCAGTTCTAGCCAGGCTCCGACTTCTAGAATGAGACTTTTTTTTCCGCCCGTCACCTCAGCCGCCATGCAACGTTCTACGTGACTCTGGGAGACTTGGACCGGTCGACGTCGTCCGAGAGCCGCTCCATACAGATAACGGCTCGGGCCATCCCCCATCCGGGGTACAGATATCAAGGCACTACACCGATAGACAACGACATCGCCCTGATGCGACTCGATACTCCGGTGAACTGGAACGCATACCCGCACATCCGTCCGATCTGCCTGCCCAGCGGTCCCTTGTCCGTCGCGGGACAGACGGTTACCATCGCCGGGTGGGGCTGCACGAACGTACTGGGTACGTAGGTCGGTCGAGGAGGGAGGTGGAGGGGTGGAGGGGGAGGGGTAGGGGATCGAGGGAGAGGGGTGACCGACGAGAAGCAACTGATTAGCGGTCGTGATTTGTGTTTCAGGGGCAGTTCTTGGCTACACCTCGACGAAGTTGAGGGAGGCGACGCTGCAGGTGGTCAGCGATGACGTTTGCCGGAGAACTGCCAGTGCCCCTAACTACAACAACTTCCTCTGTGCGCAGAAGACGGGAAGCACCATCTGCAAGGTGAGCCTTTTTCCCCGATCCAGGGAAATACGACTTGCAAGGAAGCAGATTCGTGTGGCATTTAGATGCGACAAACCGCGTCGTGTTTCTTAGGGAGATTCCGGTGGACCCCTCATGTTCCGAACTCAGATCGGATATTACAGGAACGTCGGGATCAACTCGTTCGGCAGCGGCTTCCCATCCAACGGCGCCGGTTTCACCGAGACAGGAAGTCGGTGTAGTTCCCACTCCCCGTTGCCCCGCCCCGCCCCGACCCACTCGAGCTCCTTCTCTCACGGATCCTTCCTCTTACAGATTACGTGAACAGCTTCATACTGCCGAACACAGGGGATGCCAGGTACTGTTTCACCCCCTCGTTTTTCGTGTGACCGACCTCTACTTCCTTCCGACTTCATGTTCGACTTCGAGTCCGCTTCAAGTCGCCGTGAACGCTTGCAGTACCGTGCTGGCCCATTTCGGTTTCCTTAATAAAAAGTACTGCGAGATCAACGAGCTCTTTTTCTTCGCGTACCCTTTTTGGGATCCTTTCAGAATGTCGTGTATCTGACAACCTGCACTTGGTGCTTTCCTCCCATCTCCCCACGCGAATCATCGAGAACATTGTCGACTCATAAGGGGGACTTTTTATATCGGCCTATTACGTACCGATGACAGCTATTATTCACTTCGAAGTCGGATGGTTAGGATGCGGCGAATAAGATGATTCCAGTGGTATAGGGGCCAGTGGAATGGAACATTTGTACCTGGGCTGGTACTCTAGGTTTTAAATAGCGAAATGATGCATCGCAAACAAAAAAAGAGAGCACTTCGCGATCTACAAGTCAATATCTTCCTCTTTGAGACAAGTTTTTGTCGGAAACACACCAGAAGGGGTTCTCTGGAGAAGGGGGGGGGGCTTATAAAAGAAAAGGAATAAAGGAATAAAATTATTATGTTGAAAACGCGAGAATTGATGTTCACCACAATCCCGGGAAATTGAAGCTTCAAATTTGCTGGACCGATTCTGGGCGCGAATCATGCCCTATTTCGTTCTTGTAAATGCTCTCAGAGAGGAATATCAGGAGGTTCTATTGTCTGGCGAGAAGGGGTTGAAGAAAGGGAATAGGCGCCATCGGAAGCTCTTCATCCCTCTCCCTTCCCTTTGGAACTCATTGACGTTATTCCTAGGCCATCGACTGTCTTCCAGTCAGGCTTGGTTGATTTATCGCTCGAGAGAATCCCAACCCAACACTTACCCGGCCGACGATGACTTACCAGGTTCATAGAGCTCGTCCTCAGGGGTTTCGAGACTTCTGGTAGAGGTGTAACGTTGGGCCAGTCGAGAGTTTCTCGACCTTCACTCGGATGTCTGTGGACCGACTGCTTAAAAAATGGGGATGCACGTCCGTTGCCAGAGCAGGGTTGTCCGTATCCAACGTCGATCGGACACGGCCCATCGCAGTTTCAATCTCGCCTCATCCCGTTAACAGCAGAAACTATCATATAATGTATCATGCGTTGAAAAAAAAAATATATAAAACAGATTGGCAGAAAGGAGAGAAATAAAAAGGCTTCCTATCCGAAAGGAGAAGCAGTCGTGAATCTGACAAAGTCACACGAATTCGGGCAACCGTGCGGGGTTGAGTAAGGGGTAGAGCAGAGACATGGTAAATATACCTAGACTGGACAGGCCATTGGAGAATGCCAGGCAGCCGCACGCTCATTAGAAGGGTCAGCCGCCTTCGCTCATGGCGTCAAATCGACCAATAAACGCATAGCTTTTCAATTCGTGATGTCACACTACACTCAGTTTAGACGCCCTTCACGAATACCGGGTTGGCCTAGGCCTAGGCCTACCTGGGCTTCAGTGACGAAGTAAGGTATTTTGAAAATCAATTAATGCTACCTATTCCGTCTTTTTCTCCCACTCAATAATGAGAGGGTGCATCATCAGTTTCCTCTGCAGTTAGGCTCAGGGTCTACGTGAGGCTATGAAAAATCCTCCACACCTAAGGTTAGACCCCGCGAAAGGATCAATAGTTATCAAGCCTGACTCAACATCGTAAGACGTGACACCCGACCACAGTCAGTCGTCTCTCACAGCATCCGAATCCTGAACACATTGACTTCGACCACCGTGCGCCCAGGTGAATCCCATGCCTCATCTTCTCCTTGACGCCATCAGAAATGGCCGCCAGCCCTTCAAATCGACGTGAGATCTTCCACCGCCATGTCCAGTCTAGGTATATTTACCATGTCTCTGGGGTAGAGCTTGTGCGATGAGCCTAAATAATACGCAACTACACTGTTTCCGGATTGAATTCGTATCTTCCCCCTATAGTAGAGAATGGATAAAACACAACTTCCAAAGGATCCGCTTCATAAGATGAAGCTCGAAACCACCCATGTAGAAGATACCAGTACTTGCAATCAATGGAAGTGCTCCTATGGGGGCAAAAAAGTAGCGTAGATGGAAAAGGAAGGGGGGGAGGGGGCCGGGATATAAGGAGGGTGGGAGGAAGGGGCCCAGGACAAAGTGGGGAGGGGGGTCACGGGCCCTCCCTTGCCCCCCTCCTTCCCGACGCTACGCTGCCGTATTCGTGTATTCGTGGTGCATCAGCGCTCATATACTGAACACCAGTTGAACCCTTTAGGGTCCGTGTATTTTTGATGAGTCACCCATCGTTTTTTCCCATCCCTCATCATGAGGCCAACACGAGATATCTCGAGCGTGGACGTTGTTCGCCTGGCCTGATCCTTCGAACGACTCGTTTGAATATCTCGTTTGCATGTTTTCGCTTCCCGTTTCGTCGCCAGATTTCCTCACGTGCCTCTCGTTTCGCAACTAGAAACGGTGACATCGTCGGTCGCTTGGACGTGGTACCGGTACGACCGTCGGTCCCCCGGTGTCGGGTATGTCCTCGATGATCTGAATGACCCTGTATCGCCCTGAATGACTCTGGACGCCAGTATCTGTCATTGTTGCCATGAAAGTCCCACAATCCCACGCCACGTGGCTTCGTCATTCGCGCAGGTCCTACTCGCGACTGAACCGCCGTGACGCCAGGCAAGAATCCGAATCGTTCGAATCTGAGGAGGTTCAGAGCATAGACATGTATATACTACGTATAACTAGACTGGATAGTCATAGGTGCGAGCAGGGTGCGAGAGCGCGCAGTGTGCGAGAGTGGGGCTTTTTGACGCCATGTTTTTGGGGTCAAAGACAGGCCCCGCCCACAAGTCCCATACAAACTTCCCTCTCACATCTTCTGTCAATGCAACTTGCGTTCACCCAGTATCTGTTAGACTTCATGCCCCTAACCGGAACTTCGAGTCCACCAAGTTTCACCTTTAACGGGCAAGTACTTTCGCAGATCAGGAAGTATGAGGTTAAGGACCATTCTTTGGGAATTATACTTGCAGGCCAAGAGCGAAAACTTCAAGTCCGATTCCGAAGTGCCACTGTACTCGCCTCGTTTCTTCTATAAGAGTGCTTCCATGCGCCAAACGTGGCGGACTGGATGAGTGTGAAGTATGAAGTACTTAAAGGACCAATAAGTACTTTATTAGTGGCCAAAACACCTGACCAAGAGAAAAGCCTACCTGCCCGATTTCTATCAATTACATATCGCCAGACTCATCTCACACTTGGAGGTGCACCTTTTCGGAGTCTAAAACACTGATCTGATACCAAAAGTAGTAATAAGGTACTACTNCTTTGGAATGCTTGGATGTTGAATATTTCTTAATTCATCCTCTTCCATTTCTTTCTCCTTGAACAGCTAAATTTCCTTCTACAACTCACTCTTGGATTCACCTCTCTCCTGTGACCTTGACACTGGTGAATAAACTATAAACCTGCATCCAGGCTTTTGAACTACAGCCCAGATTTTGCCCACAGACAATTTCCCTTTCCTTTTTTGCATAATTTCTGCTCTATTGTGCATACACTAATCCTTTGATATTGACGATACTTTATACAAATTAATTCGAATTTAAACCGAAATGAAAGGAAACTTGCTCAATCAAAGTAGTTAAGAAAAGTGGGTTTAGGCATTGGATTGGAGTGGGTTTATATTGATAGAAAGGAATACCAAAACGTTCAAATTAGGCCTGCTAGAGCAGGGTAATGATCTGTGGACCTAAAGTACCTCTAGGTCCAATGGACATAATTTTGCCTGGGCCCTTTGCAAATAGGCCAAACATGAAGCCGATCAAAGGACTAGCTTACAATCGGCTATTGAAAACTATATGAAGGCTATTGGCCTAACCCAATGATCCCATGTATACGGAAGGCCTAGGCCAGGTTCTCTGTAACGTTAGTGAACAGTTAGGCTCATCCATTGACACACAACCATAGGCCTGTACTTGTATACCTATCTTGCCTTTTGAAATGTGTGCTCGTAAAGCTTTACTTCGGGCGGACGTCCACCACGATTCCTAAGGTTGGGACCAGAGAAATGCTCCGGCATGGGTACCACGTGGTTTTACAGGCTCGTTTGACCCCAAAAAGATGGCTTCAAAAGGTGCCGCGACAGCAGCGCCAGTTTCCGCCCCTTGGTTCAGAGAGACCACCCTTACGGAAATGTCCTATAGGAAACCTTTAGACTTTCCTATAGGTTTTTGAAACACGAAAAACCTATGGAGTCTTATAGGTCTCCTGACCTATAGGATTCGGGGAGGATATTTTGGGTTTCGAAATCCAGGCATTACGACGGAAAAGGCGTTCAGGGTTAACATTGGCGCAGCATTTCGATGTAAATAAAAAACCGATTAGGGGTTTTTCCATGGTAGGGACACATGCATTATTAATACCAGTACTGCAGGGGTCTGCATAATTTATGGCCCCGCCCCACATGTGTCACTGGATTGCACGTCTACTTCCTTCGATAGAAAGAAGTAGTTTTCTCCTCTCTACCTAAGGAAATAGAAGATAAAACCTGCGAGAACATCCCTTTACAGAAAATCCATTGAGGCGTTCTTTCGTAAGTGGTTTTCAAAAGGAATAAGGACATATTTCTTCACGGGACTACATGATTATATCTAGAAGATAGGGATGACAAATAAGGAACTGTCGAAGTTTATTGATTGGTACAATGAGGCAAGGCGAGACATTTGGGGACGTACAAAACTCTCTTGTGAGAGATGATTCCTTGGGTAAGGGGAGGGCCTTTTGTGCCCTTTGAGAAATGGGAGAACACAATACTTCTATCTAGTGGCCTATAGGAGAACTTCAAACGGAACCCTATAGGTTTTATAGGGAACCCTACGGGTCCTATACAGAACCCTTTGGGTCCTATAGGGAACCTATAGGCCTTATGGGGAACCCTATTGGTTCTATAGGGAACTCTATAGGTTCTATAGGGAACCCTATAGGTTCTATAGGGAACTCTATAGGTCCCAAACTGAACTCTATGGGGCAAATAGGATAATACAGGATTCCTTTAGGTTCCTATAGGATTCCTATAGGAACCTAATTTTCGCAAGGGCAATTCGGAATTAGTGGATGCGTGAACCATGGCGAGCTAAAATAATTACTATTTATTCCTTTCAGTAACGTGAGTATTGCACACTTTAAATTGAGAACCAAGCGATTGTAAAAATGTTATCAGTAATCTATATTTACATCATTAAATAAACGTAACCATTGTTCACGATTCCTTCACATATTCACTTGAGGTCGAGTAGAAAAGATGTACCACTCCGAACATTGCCTATGAGCACAATGATTCGCGTCATCGATGATTCCGTGGAAGAAGAAAGGAGCTGACACTCGGTCAAAGACACGAAGCCCGCTTTTGTTCCTATTACAAAGGAATTGTGGACCGGGGGGCTTTCCGCCGCTCGTTTATAATTAAAGGGATTGGGAAGAATGGAAAAACCTGGAAGGCTCGACGTGGAAGTCAGTTCGCGACGAGCCTCCTCATCGTTTCCGGGAGGTTCTCATCCGCTTGGATCGTTCTAACGAACGCGATTCCTCACCGTTCGCGCCGGTAAGCTTCCTGTACTCCTCGCTCGTTCCGAGGGGTTTCATCTGGAACGGTTCGTTGCTTCCTGGAAATACGGGGTGTGGTATGAATACCTGACGGTTTTTTAATTGTAATAAGAAATGACTGATAGCAGATACATTTTATAGCGATATATTTTTAAATTCTGCGTGTGATTGGCGAGTAGTGTTTTTTTTTTCGTGCTTATTTGTCGCCTTGGGGACCTGGACGAACCTTCGAGTATCGATGATTTCAAAGAAAATTTTCACTAGGAGGTTCGAAACATCCCCAATGATTTACTGCGCCGAGTCATGTCCTGCGCGTGTTGACGCGGATGCCATCATCGCAAAAAAAGAAACATTTAAGGTATGGAAAACTGTACTCTCCAACAAATGCAGAATTTTAAAATACACCACCATAGAATGTATCTACCGTCAATCATTTGTTATTACGAATAAAACACCGTCAGGTATATATGCTCCACCCTGTACCGGGCCAGAGATCATGCTCTGGCGATCGAAATCCCATTAATCGGGAAATGGATCCTTCAGCATTTCCAGGAATTCCATTCACGATCGACCAGGCGTGAAAATCGGACTTATTTCTGTTTGCGGAGATTTTCGAGGTCAGGAAATCCAACGACCTTCACGACTTAGAAAAAAAAAAGTATCCACGAGTTCCTGAGGGACCACATATATTAATTGTCAGCCGGCGCTGATTCAAGTGCCTCGTCGGAAATTAATTATGCCTTCTATAGCTTCGCATCAACGGCCACGGTTATTACTATTATTTTCTTTCCAGAACCATGAGGAAGGCGAAGGAAACGTCAGAAATCCCGAAGTCGGGGAAAAGGGAAGACACGCCTTTGAAGTTCCTCATTTACTTGATCGCCGTGGTTCTCACCATCAGCCAGGCAAGATCCTCTCACCTCCCCCGATCTGGGCGACATTCAGAATTCGATAGAAAAGTTAAAATAGAGTACCAGCCCAGATACAGATGTGCCATTCCACTGGCCGCTGTACCACTGGAATTACTATACTGATGAAGTAATGAGAAAGCCAATTTTCCAAGGTTTTACCTTTCTTCAACCCCCCCCCCCCCCCTTTCTCTACGGAACTCATTAACGTTAGGCCTAGGCTTAAACGACGTACAGTCTTCGGGTCAGGCCTAGGCCTACCTTTTCTCGATCAAAAGAAACTCAATCCTCGACCTACGAACCAATTAGGCCTATAAGGATTAGTCCCTGTTCTTCGAGACACCTCGTTGAGGACGTCTAACGTTAGGCCAACCGCAGGCCGATTCAATCTCTCATGGCCCATTTGACAGAGAGCGTGAAACGCAAGACCGAATGTGGGTCTCTTTCGCGCTTCATGAACAATTTCAGTGCGGTCGGGGAACATTACGCCCGTCCGGGGTTCCTCGAACCGCCTCGACTCGTTCCGAGAAGAAAAATGCCCTTTGAAAGCATGGCGTACAAGCAAGCCGCCATCGTGCTAATTCAGGGATGTCCGGATGAGATGTCTCAGTGTTCCGCCAAATCGATCGGCTACTGCAAACCGTCGTTTCGCTCTCAGCTCATCCCATGAATTCAGAACAATAATGTCTTCTGCATAAAAAAGAGAATTTCCAGGTAACGATACTGAGGCCGGGGAAGTCATGAATCTGATAAATCTCCGACAGGATATCCGGCAACACTGCGGGACGGAACCGGGGCCATCACGATAAGCCTAAATTAACGACTTATTCAATAGCAAAATGGTGTCAAACACTCAAGTCCGCTCCGCCCCATTTGAGCTAATGGCTTCATGCCGTAACTTCATTTAACTATACTTGGAATCTATACTATATTTCTGAATATTTGTGTCTCCCCGTCCTTCATGCACGGCCATGCTCCTCTGCTAGTATATTCATATTTAAACTATGTGTTTCTGTTTTGAGTTGGTATATATTCACCGCATCCTAACCATCCAACCTTGAAATAAATATCTGTCATTGCCTCGGCATAGGCCTATATGAAAAGGCCCGGACAACTAGACATGTTCTAGACGGTTCGCGCGTCCGCATCGCCTGTAGATGGGACGACAGACAACAGGGGGCCTATGGCAGCGTGACGTCAGTTATCATCGAAATTATGATGATCGAGTTATTATATTTCGATCATAATCGAAAAGTATACTTAGACCGAGTAATTGGGTCGTATTGTCCAGTTGCTATGGTTACTGCTGACAGACGGAACGAAAAACCAGAGAGCACTAGCCCCATAGAGTGTATATAGATGTCTCTGGAGAGGCCTTCGCTGAAGCCTTCGCCTTCGCCTGGAGACTTACAAGACTTACAACTTCACCAAGATGGCTCTTGGTGAAGTCTCGCACGTGGGAATGAATAGCGTGATCTGTTGGGTCCCGGCGTGGAGGCCCCTAGGCATATAGCTCGGGGCCAGTTGCCTCTTTTGCCCTCCCCCTCCCCCATGTGTCTGCTATGAACTCCTTGCTCGTGCGACTTCAGTAAGATGGCGGCCGCGCTTGGAAGGGTACGGCGCCGCGCCATAGGAGAGGCTCCTCCATTATGCACTCTCTATGACCAGTCCAGGTACAGATCTGGCATTCCACTGGTCCCTGTACCACTGGAATCATATACTCACCGCATCCTAACCATCCAACCTTGAAATAAATCATTGCTGTGATCGGTACGGCACAGGCCTATATGAAAAGGCCCGGATGATGGGAAATAGGAGGACAGTATGAATTGTAGGATGTCAGATACGGCATTTCACGCGGGCGGTTAACAACCCTGTCTACGCGGCCGCAGACAGCCGCTCCCCTCCCTTGTCTACTATGGATCCGTCAACCACCAGGGCTGGAAGGAAAGTGGATGTTTTCGTGGAAGACGGGTGGAAAGCTGCGGTTGCGCAGAGGGTCGTGTTGTCCGGTCGCTATGGTTACTGCAAACAGACGGAATGGAAAAGAAAGAACGAAAGAGAGAAAAGTGGCAAACCAACCGCAATATCTTGCATTTCCGCATAGTACCTATGGGAATGCCAGATAATTATTAAACCGATTGATTTTACAGGCCCTGGCATACCTTCAGCGATACCGGGACAACCCGACCCACACGACATATGAAATCCAGGAAAGGGAAGAATTCCTCGCACCAAAACTCACGGTTTGCCAGTTTCCCGCGTGGAACACTCGAAATCCCTATAGGAACGAAGAGAGAGGGCCCTTATCCTCGTTCATGAAGAAGTTCGGCATCGAAGCGGAGGACGTCGTCGCGACCTGCCTGCTAAATCGACAAAGCTGCACGCCTGGAAAGACCAAGAGTATTGGAAATATCAGCTCCGTCGTCGATCTCCCGAGTGAGACGAAAATTGTACTTTCCAGAAATTTCATGATGATGAGACTAACGCGAAGACTTGCATGCCAAAAAGTATGAACCTATAAATCTCCAGAAACGAACCAGACGTTGAAACCATCGTTTCAGTAGGATCGAGGCACGATCTGTCTTAAAGTTCGATTCAAAATGAAATAATTAGGAACTGGACCCTAAAACCGCGAAACATAAATATCTCGTCGTCATCGTTGCAGCTGCAATGTGGACCCAAGGGATCCAGTACTTCGACTGCGACCTAATGAACATCCGACGCTGCTTCACTCTTCACCCCAAACATCCGCTGGGAGTCCTGGATCACATGTCCGGGTATTTCTTGAACCTCAGCATGGAGCCAGAGATAGAGGCGTTGCACGGGAGCAAATCACAATGGGAGATCTCGATCCACAACGACCCCGACTGGGCATCGGACCTGGAGGGGACCTCCACCGTCATCAAGGTCTTGCCGAGGACCTCCAATACCATTTTTTTGTCCATAAGGGAAATGCTGTACGTGCCAACGTCGACTCATCCTTGCGAAGAGGATCCGTCCTATAGTCGAGACCGGGTGAGTCGTGTCAATATTTCTCCACTGTCTCGAAATCGTGAATATCGCGAATCCAGAATGCAAAATTCTGAAGTGCTGAAATCGTATTACCGGTTCGAAGAGCCGAGCATAGAAAATGTAATCCCGTGTCATTCGCGTATTTGCAGTGCTGGAGCGATTGCGTGGCCAGGAATCTGTCGCCGACTTGGGATTGTCGGCTGAGCTGGATGAACGTGTCGTTGCCGCTTTGCGAGACGGTGGAGGACATTCAACGGTTCCTTCGGGATGGCTACAATCAGATGAATAAGGAACGCTTTTGGAAGTTGAACTGCAACTGCCCCCAGCCCTGCAAGATGATCCAGTTCACGACGCAGGCGATGCCCCCCGAGCTCGGCGACTCCGGGAACCGATCCGCCCTGGTCCACGTCTACTTCCCCTCGAGGGAGGTGGAGGTGCTGGTGGAGCACGAGTCCTACGATCTGAACCAGATGGTCGGGGAACTGGGCGGCTGCGTCGGATTGTTCCTCGGCGTCTCGCTCGTCTCCGTTTACGAGATCGTTGCCGGATTCTTCTTCGGCCGCGTTTCTGCCTGACGAGTCGAGAACTCGTTCTCTCGAGCATCTCCAAATGAAGTCGAACGCTTAAAACAGTGACGACGAAATTTCGAGATGAGAGGCGGCTGGATCGCGTGAATGGGATTCCTCATTTTTTGCAAAATAACTTGTCAATTCTGACATAAGGTAGAGGAGATTCGACATTAAATACCAAAGCACAACATTCTTTAGAGCCGGTGACATACTCTCTTCGCTCGTTGTCATGAAGTGTTATTTTGGGGGAAATGTCTGGGATCTGTCTCGTGCTAACACTGAATGGATGGAATATCTCAACTCGCCAGTCTCCTTGAAAGTTGCACGCACGGTGTCTGCGTTCTCGAAGTAAACATCGAGAGAGTTTCCCTCTCTGAATCACGGTTTTTTTTTATTTATACGGTGAGCATCGAAAATACTTGAAACGATTTCGCTGCCCAAAATCACTCGATTTTGGCCCTCGTCTACGTCCGAGACGTCGAATCGAACATCGATTTTCATTTGCAGGCTGCACGAACGAATGGTCGCAGCCGCCTCGACTTATCGCGAAAAGAAGCGCGACCGAGGAGGACTTTTTGCGATTTAGATGCAATTTTGGGTGCAGGTTGGCACTAGTAGACCGTGAAATCGATTATCGATTATCGATCCCACACCTTTCGAGGGTGTGGGATCGTTTTTTACGGATAAAACTTGCCAAAAACTGCAACGTTAGTAGAGGTTATGGAATCATGCTAGTCGGCTGAAACATTCATCGCGAAACGATAATCCATGAAACGCCGTAGAAATACCTGAAAATTAGAGTTAAGTCTCAAGGTCGTGGAACGACGAGGTTGCAGAAAAGACCTATCGAATTCCCTCGGATCGGGGGAAGAGCAATAGTTTTTTTTTTTTAAGGCTTCCTTTACTCCTCGCTAAGTCTACTCGGTTTCATCTGTAATGGTATGATATTATTTGAAAATACTTAGCAAGAGATCATGTTCTTGCGATCGATAGAGCTGAAGGATTCGTTGAAATGGAATTCTTGAGCCATTTCTAGGGGATCCGTTCACGATCGATGCAATGGTGAAACAGCGTTTTTTTTTTCTGTTTGGAAAAAAACCCCGGGTATTTTCTGGCATGGCCATGCCAGAAAATCCTTTTGCCACCTCGAAACGCGTGTTCACGATCCCCTAATTAACCCAACCAGCCCGAAAGGCTTCAACGCTTTCGATTCTCCACAGCCTCGCCCTTCATTAAGCCTCCTCGTCCATTCCCATAAGGATCCTCGCCTCCCTCCAAGCAAGGATGTAGGCGAGGAGGCCCATCGACGGCCATCAGCAGCGCCTTTCTTCAACCCCTTCCAGCCACAAAATTCAACCTCTTCGTATTCCTCGATTCCACCAACAGCAGAATAATTTCACAAGCTTCTTCCTCTCTCAAAACGGAATCGCTCCAGCGAATTCGTAGATGTGAATTTCATTCAGGTAATTTGTTTCTCCCCTCATGGATAGTCACCAATGGGGAATTTTCATTTGAAATAGCCCACTCAAATAAAATATATTAACTTTTAGATGACAAAAAGTGCCATGTTTTTGCTTGCACCATTTCGCCATATAAAAAAAAAAACAATTGTACTAGGGTAGGCATTGCCTACCTAGTTTAAAATCAGAGTTCTCAAACTATTATTTGCTAACTTATTAACTTAACATTGCACATCCTCCACCAGGTGTCTCGAAGACCGGAAATTAATCCTTGTAGCCCTAATTGATCCTCGAGGATGGAGTTCTGAACAAAAATGGCCCTCGGCCAGACTCGAAGACAGTCCGAATGCCTAGGTTAATGAGTTCCGTCGAGAAGGGGGGAAGGTGAGCCTGTTATGAGGTCGAGGTTCAGGTTGAGGTTGGGATTGAAGAAAGGGAAAGCCTTCGAAAAATGGTTTTCACATTACTTCATTTGTTTTAATTATGGGCGTCTTTGGGAACAAGACAATCTTCCTCAAACTCATTCTGATGGGGGGGATCATCACGAGATCGGTTTATTTTCCATCGAACAAATCTGGTGCATTTAATTCTCTCCTTACTAACTTTTTCGTGAAATTCCACTCAGGGCCTGTGGAAGAAAACAGAAGGAAGCAAGAGGAAGGATGAATCGTTGGCGCTTTTCCTTTCCAATGAGAGATCCTCTTTGGTCGTTCAAATTCTTTAACAGGGAAATTCTTTAACAGTTGAAGAGGCGTTTCCAGTTCCTTACCCATGGTGATGCTCTTTATCCTCAAAAGTATAACTCGAAGAGTTATAAGAGTCGAGGATCTTTTTTTTTTGCAGAGCAGGCCAGATCGGCTCTATACTAGAGACTTTAACCACTAGATTCAGTAGATCAAATTATATCCTAGTATACCTTTTTCAGATCTCATCTCAGAGATGATCCACAGGCCTTCCTGCAATGACGCTGACCCGCACCCCCCTTAGGATTCGTCATGCCTGGAATGACGGAAATAGGGCACGGGCCAGCCGATGAGCCGAGGAAGAGCAGAACGGCTCCGACTGTCGATTTATCTTGACTGTTTAGGAGCTTCCGTTTCCTCTTTCGTTTGGCGTCTGAAAGAAGAAGCCAGTTTCAATTCCACTCGTGATACATTCGCGGTAGCGCAATCGCGAGAGAGAGGTGTGAAGGTTAACCTGCTCGCTAATTCAAGATCGAATGGAAAGTTCGGTCTGTCATCTCGTCAAGTAAAGGGTCGTCCCCTCTCGTGTACTTTTGCACCACCAGACGATGGAGTCGGGTCTCGCACGTGTTGCGTTTCCTGAATTTTGGATGAACTTAGTGTCATCATCGGACCGGACAATGCATTCATTTTCGTGTTGGACAATGCTCAAGTGCACAAAAGGATCATTCCTCGATACCCAACCCACACTCCATTCATTTCCTCCTCCCCCCCCCCCTCCCTCCCTACAGTCCTTGGTTAAATCCCGTCGACGTCACGTTCTCGCCCTTCGAAGCAGAAGTGAAGAAACGGATCGGTGCGTTGCAGGCCCCAGTGGCCATCCCAGTTGGCAGCCGCAGCAGGGAAGGCTCTTACGAGATATCGATGTCGAATGAAAAACGTCCGTTAAGAGTCCATTTGCAACGTGAATACGGATGCCTGGTGCAGACATGCATACGAGCATTCTCGTCGATACGGCGTCGGTCAGAAATCCAATTCGCGAATGAAGGCATTTCGCTTTTCGCTCTCCCTCCGTCTCGATTTCGACTCATCCTCGGGGTACGATTTGGCCTCGTAGTCTCTCTTGGTTTCTCTGTTTAGGCTGTAGGAAAGCGAAACGAGACACAACGGCTTACACTCGCCTCTCCTGGTCCTGTTCCCCATTCCTTCACGAGCCCGCTCCTTCTGGCATGCGGGCTGCCCGAATGGCAGGTATGCCTGATTATCACTCGAAAATGGTAAATTTGTCTCGCTGGCCGTCCCACTTTTATCAAAACGGCAAGGGATAGAAGCCCCATCGCGCTGCGTGACCGAACGTAAGCCTCCGGACCGACGAGCCTAAGCTCGTCGGTCCGGAGGTTTACGTTGGGTAGAAAGCAAAGTAGCAAATATATAGCAAAGTAGAAAATGTTAAGCAAAGTAGAGAATATAGCAAATCTTCTATAGCAAAGTAGAAAATGCTTCGAAAAGAAAAAAAATGCTAGCCCTGTCATCTGCCATGTCAAGAATTCCCTCGGTCAGTGTCGACCGAGCGTCAACAAAACTGAAAGGTTGTTTGTCCCCTGCCAATCCTCGTCTTCCCGTCGCTCGCCGTCGAGCGCTTTATCAATTATTGCATTGGAGTTCGACAAAGAAAACAGAAGCCGCCTTAGCCCTTTTCTTCCTCGCCTTCGTCTTTCTTTTGTGGCGCGATCGACATCCCCAAACACTTGATGACGACGTTTGAAGCACCTGCCAGTTGACAGTCGCTTCTGCCAGTTGCCATTTTCTCATGCCGAAAGTCGTTCCCCGTCGAAGTCTCTCGCGTGTGAATCTCTGTTCCTTGCAACCCCGAACGCCCCAAAGTGCACAACTGACATGAGCGAATCCATTCTTGAAAGTATAAAGGGCGCCAGTGAAATCCTTTTTGGCAAACGAGCAATGAGCTCATGAGGCGTGCCGAGAAGGGGGACGGGAGCCAACCGGTGCGGAAGCCCTTCCACACCCGTCAACTTTTGAGAACGGTGTGCATCCCGCACGATCACCATTCCCTTGTTCACCGATCCGACCTCGTAGCATGTTTTCGGCGAGCAACCGTTCTCTCAACGCTCATCCTGCACTGGCCCCAAGAAAGAGGAGGCATTGAATCTTCCCCTCCCGTCTCGGCACGCCTCTTCTCTTTCGCCAAATGCGGGGGATTCCCTGGCGAAATCGAAACGGCCGATGCCGGATATAAAGTGGCTTGCAGGGTATATCGTCCAGGAAACCTATATTAACAGCTGGCAGTAGGTGGTAATAATATACGGCCGAATTCGATCAAATGCAAACTATTGCATTAATATATGTAATCTGATATGTGTCATATCATGTATTGATATATTATTGTGTTGCATAATATTAATAGATTTTAACTCATTAGTGACCAAGGCGAAGACATGCAAAGACTTGAAAATTGTAGTACCCAAACAGTTCACAGGGTAATGGATAGAATAGCATGTTATAAATGATATCAGGAATTTTTCAAAGGTAAACTCTCACGGGCTCGAGTCGATTTCGAATTGTTCACCTCACTGAAAGAAACCTTCCGAGATCATCCTGAGATTATCCCGGACAACTGTGTGTATCGTCAGGCGAAATCTGCGCTCTGTGCGATCAACATAGATTCAAAGGTTATCATTCTTTAAAATGAAAATTATTTTTATGCTCCGTAAATTTTGGGACGCATTGGTCAGGACCCACAAATAATTAATGGGTTTTACATACAGTTAGATATTATAAAATTTATTATTATGGTAAATCGTAGACATTAACTGCTGAAAGTTACTTTCTTGTAAAGTAACAATAAGGTTGTCTAAATTCCTTTACAGTTGACATATAAAACTTAAAAAAAAAGAACTGAAATTACAAAGTTAAATAATAGTTCCTAAAATCAATAAGTTTTTCTCAAACGTCACAACTTCGCAACGAAAATTTTTTCTAAAATGCATAAAATTTCCCTTCGTTGAAAATCTGTACCGGCAAAGGCGGGAGTTCGTGTAGGAATTCGCGGGAAAAAAAAATTCATGCGGCAAAATTCTCTTCGTAGCTCCAGAAAGTGTCGCCGACTCGTTCCGCCGACTGCTGTCGTCAACCGTCACCGATGCTCGCCAAATGATTCCAAGCGCCATCATGCAGAAGGAAGAAGAACCGGGAAGAAACCCCAAGACGGCCAGGAAAGAGAACGCGTTCTTGAAATTGCTCATCTACGGGATCGCTCTGACCCTCACGGTCAGCCAGGTGAGTGCCCCTCACCCCCAACCCCCCCAACCCCCCTCCAACCCCCCCAACCCCCCTCCCCCACCCCCCTTCCCCCGTTCGAAGGCGGGAAGAGGCTGGGGATCGATCGCATGCGTCCGCAGGCCCTGACGTACCTGCAGCGGTACCGGGACGTCCCGACGAAAATCACTTATCGAGTCGAGGAGAGGGAAGAATTCGTTGCTCCGAAAATCACCGTCTGCCGGTTTCCCGCCTGGAACGTCGCCGAACCGCCTCCGGATTGGCAGAACGAGACGGTGTCGTCCTTCTTCCGGAAATACAGCAGCCTCGCGTTTCACTTCTACACTCGCGGCAAGGTGAACGGGAAATTCTGCTTGACGCCCGAGAAAGTGGACCTCGTCAATATCAGCTCCGTCGTCGACCGCCCTTGTAAGAATACACTTTTTTTTTCTTCATTGGGAAAGACTAATCATTTCCGTGAATCAGAAATCATGCTATTTAATATTAAAAAATTCGAACATTCAAATGCCGCCGACTAAACCGAGCAAAGAATCACAGAAAAGCGGAAACGACGCACCTTCCCCTCATGCCCCAGGCGGAACGTGGACCCAGACGTTCCAGTACCACAAAGGCGACCTACTCGACCTCCGTCGCTGCTTCACCCTCCACCCAAAAACCCAACTGGGAATCCAGCACTCGGAAAGCGGCTTCTACTTCGTCCTCGCACCCGACGGCTCGAAGACGACCGCCGCCCGCGGAACGAAGGCCCCCTGGGAGATCTCCATCCACAACGACCCCGACTGGGCATCGGACCTGGAAGGGACCTCCACCGCATTCAAGGTCCACCACGCGACCGCCAACACCATTCATCTCTCCGCGAGGGAAATGCTGTACAAGTCCACACCGGCTCGTCCTTGCGAAGCGGATCCGTCCTACAGTCGAGACCGGGTGAGCGATTCCGAATCGGTACATGTCGAAACGTATACATAATATATTCCCGTATATCCAAAGCCGAAATGCCGCCGAATAACTCACTGGCATCAAAAACCGTAAAGTAATCGTCCGAACGTCGGTGTTTCGAAATCCCAGCGAATTTTCATGAATGGAAGAGAATTCTTAGAGGAATCAATGTGTTTTTACATTTTAAATATCTTGCGTTTGCTTAGGATCCTCCCCCCCTCCCCCCTTTTTCTTCAATGATTTCTTGACCACAGCGCGAATTTATTTCAAGCTCAATTTTTTCTCTCATGCCTCAATAATGCTATTGGGATCGTTCAAAAAGAAACATCTTGCAGATTGGGCAAGAAGAAAGACTACTTCATATTTTTTTTTAACAATAATGTATTTAAAAAATTGAAAGGAGTTTAGCATTAATTCGCCTACTGCACCCATGTAAAGTAGTGGGAGCTGCCAGGTGGTTCAAATTAATGTCGTCGCCTTGAAAACGCTTGAATCCATTTATTTTTCGCATTTCCATTCGAGGATGTCTTTCATCTCGATGGATGGTCCTGAAATTTGTGTAAAATTCACCGTTTCCCGCGATGCGGGTCCTCGTCGCAGTGCCGGAGCGACTGCGCGGCGAGGGCCCTGTCGACGGACGCGACCTGTCGGCTGAACTGGATGAACCTGTCCCTGCCACTCTGCGAGAGGATGAAGGACCTGAGAGACCTGATCGTCGGCTACGACGAGAAGACCCGACGGAACGGCGATTCCAACTGCAGCTGCCCGCCGCCCTGCAGGAGGGTCCGGTACACGGTCGCGGTCGCGCCGAAGGAATTCAGATGCGAATCCGGTCCCTCCCTTATGACCGTCCTCAAGATCTACTTTCCTCGGAGGCAAGTGGAGGTCCTGGTGGAAAAGGAGGCCTACGATTCGACCCAGATGGTCGGGGAATTGGGCGGCTGCGTCGGACTTTTTCTCGGCTTCTCTCTCGTCTCCGTCTACGAGATCGTCGCCGGATTCTTCTCTCGGAGAGAAGGGAAAAATCCTCTTTCTGCCGAATGACTCGCAGAGAAATCAAGAACTTCATTGAGGGTATCCATCATAACATTTTTATTTGTTTGTGCTGGGCCATTCGACAAGAAAACTGGAAGCTATAGCCAAGAAAACCGGTAAAACTAAAAAATTCCCATCGGAAGTAATGCTATTTCCATATTTCTTTATTCCTGAAATTTCCTTCAAATTTCACAACACCCCCGGATAATTTTTCCCAATGCACATGGCATGAGCGGAATTGGAATTTTTTCTTCGATTCGAAACGAGAATCATTCTCACGTTGGCCTCGCGTCGCTCTGGCGAGGCATCCTGGCGGCACGCCGCGAACGACTCGCGACTTCGCTTCGAGTCGCCTCGCTTCTCCAATTTCCTTCTCAGATGTCATCTGCGACGATGCACTGGGCCCGTCATCGATGCATGGGCGACCACATGCTACTAAACTGTTGCCGTCGACTCGATCCACTTTGGAGATGTTAATCGCGTTGTCGAACTCGGAATCACCGTGGGGTTGTCTTCTTGTAAAAAATATGCAACTTGAATAAGCAACTGTTGCAACTTGAAGTGTTATTATATCCCCTAATCATGTGTATTTGCACCCTCGTGTATTTGGTGACATGGGCGCTTTGCACTTCACTCAGATTATATATACTGCCGTTAATAAAATATATTCTAGAGATAATGTCATTTATATACCAATAATAGAGAGTTACTAATGGCAGGTAAACCTCCTGCAAACTGCTGGAAACCAAACATCCATCGTAATAACGAAAGATCTCTGGATTCATTCCACGAAGAAAATTTGGAAGAGGAAAAGGAGAGAGAAATGTTGGGATCGGGATTAATGAGAAACCAAAGTTCTCGCACGCGCAGGCGACAGGCTTCAACGTGACTAACCCAGGAAATGGCCTACAGTACAGTATACCAGCAGGCATTTGTATAGAATGCCATGGTGCGTGTCTTCCCCCCCCCCCCCAGCATCCCTTCCCAAACGGGACTAATGACAGCATCAATATACGCAAGGTATCGTACTCATG